TGATTTAAAACCACCCTGCTGCCAACCCCAAAGCACTCTGGCCACTCTGGTCACCAGGCAGAAAAACCCTGGAGCTGCCTTGCTGAGGATTCCCACTCCAGCATTCATGTCCACTGTGGATGTGCAGCTCTCAGCCCTTGGGTGCTGCCTTTTCAGCCTGGAAAAGCCTGTTTCTGCTTTATTTTTAAAAATACAACTTCATTTGCAGAGTGTGGGAAGGTGGTTTCAAAATAAAATTCCTGACAGGCATAATAAGCCTCAGAAAAGCCAATCACACAGAGCAGGATAATTATCCACAGAATTTGTTTTCTGTGTATTTGTGTAAAATAATCAATGATATTTTTCTCACACGGATTCCAATTTGATTGTATTTTTCTGTGTTACTTGCAAATCATACAAACAATCGATGCTCTGACCCCTTCTCTATGCAAACACAGCTTCGAAAGACACTACAAGAAATAAAATCCGATAAATTCCTCACTCAGGGTTGTTTGTTTAAAAGCTTTGCTGGAGTCTGATCCTGCTCACAGCGACTTCAGAGATACAGGAGTGGGACTTTCAGACGTGCTTGAGGTGGGATTATTGCCACAAATATCAGCAGGAATAGAATGTCTGTAAAATCCTGGCACAAAAGTGAGGACCCAGATGTGGAGGTGATGCCTTTTATAAGGAATAAGGAAAACGAGCCCATTTTCTGGCCTGGCACACTCCTCCTGCAGAGGGGCACACAGCTGGGCTGGGGGTGACCCAAGGGAAGAGTGGGATCCTTCCTGTCCCCTTGCCCACACAGGGGGCACATCAGGGGCACTCCTGGCTGGAGTGGGGTGGCCAAGGGCAATGATGGCAGCAGGGCAGCGTGGTGTCACCTTCTCAGCAGCACCTGAGTGCAAACCCACTCAGGATCCTTGAATCCAGTTCCTGAATGCAAACCAACTCAGGATACCCCAAATCCGAATCCTGAGTGCAAACCCACTCAGGATCTCCCAGATCCAAATCCTGAATGCAAACCCACTCAGGATGCCCCAAACCCAGCAGCACCTGAGTGCAAACCCACTCAGGACCCCCTGAATTCAGCTCCTGAATGCAAACCCACTCAGGAACCCCTGAATCCAGCTCCTGAGTGCAAATCCAGTTCCTGAGTGCAAACCCACTCAGGACACCACAAATCCAAATCCTGAGTGCAAATCCACTCAGGACCCCTTGAATCCAGCTCCTGAGTGCAAATCCAGATCCTGAATGCAAACCCACTCAGGACACCCCAGATCCAACTCCTGAATGCAAACCCACTCAGGACCCACCAAATCCAGCTCCTGCTGCCTGCCCAGTGCCAGGGGTCTGTTCTTTACAATTCACTGATCTCAGCCCATTGGCATCCGATCCTCACCGTGTCTCACTAACACATCATCCCTCAAAAGCATCACTCGGAGGAATTCCTGGTGATGCTTCAGCCACAAAATGGGTCTGCTGGAGCCGCCAGTCCTGCTCCACCTATCCCAGGCATCCCGCCCTGCTTTGTTAGGGACGGTGCCACCAGCTCTGCAAAATGGCATCGGGCTCTGTCTGTGTGCTGCTGTTTAATCCGAGTGCAGGGTTGGACAAAGGGGCTCTGCACGTCCCACAAGCACCTCCTGGCACTGCTTTAGCTGCGATGGTAGAAATGCTCAGCCGCTCCTGGTGCCAGGTGTGAAGTGCCGGGCTCAGCCGCAGTGAGGGCGGGCAGCAGTGCAGCATCCCTCAGCGAGATGAGCACGGGCAGCTCCTCTCAGCACCACCACCCTCCTCTTCCTCTGCTCCAGGGCACCTCGGAGCTGAATCGAGCACCCGGGTGGTGTTTTCTGATACGGCGTTTTCAAATATTTAACAGATTGCGTAATAACCGAGCAGCTGTTGAAGGAGCTTCAGATATAAAGTCCTGCTTTAAAAACCCATCCTGCAACAAGGCACAGATTTTCTTTGTACATGTGCATGTATAGATTATGTTTAGATGTGTAGATTAAATATTTATATTTTACTGGGGAGAGAAAGAGCGCTTTTGGCTTTTTATTCCCTTTCTTAGATATCTCTCTCTGTATTTATTTTAATAGTCAGCTTCACAGGGGAAAAAGGAGAGCTTTGAGAAGTTACCTGCTTTCTCTCTGGTTTGATTTTCAGTGCTAAACCAATAGTTACTTAAGTGCTCTGCACCTCTTGGTATAACCTAATAATTAAAATAATTACTTGAAAGCCAGGGCATCTTTGCACAAATTAATGCAGGGCAAGAAGCTGCAGTTTTCCAGTGGGCTGAAAAAGAGGTCACAAAATGATGCCAGTTTTAGCTGAGAGAGAAGGTAAACACAGATCTCCCTGCAGCCCCGATTAAAGCCTTTTCCTGATCTTTTAAGTTTCTTACTTTAGTGATCAAGAAGGTGGCTGGATGAGGGGCTGGCTGTTGTGGGATTTCTCAGCAGGTAAAGGGAAATTGTTCCTGTGGGAGGCACGGCAGTGCTGGCAGTGGCACAGCTGTGCTCCTGCAGTGGGCAACGCTTCCTCCCTTCCTGTCTGCCTGCCTTCATCCCTCCATCCCTCCCTGCCTCCATCCCTCTGTGCCTCCTCCATCTCTCCATCCCTGCCTCCCTCCCTCCCTCCCTCCCTCCCTGCCTTCATCCCTCTATCCTTGCCTCCATTTCTCTCTCCTTGCCTCCATCTCTCCCTCCTTGCCTCCATCTCTCCCTGCCTTCATCCCTCCCTCCTTGCCTCCATCTCTCTCTCCTTGCCTCCATCCCTCCCTCCCTGCCTCCATCTCTCCCTGCCTTCATCCCTCTATCCTTGCCTCCATTTCTCTCTCCTTGCCTCCATCTCTCCCTCCTTGCCTCTATCCCTCTCTCCCAGCCTCCATCCCTCCCTCCCTGCCCGGTGAAGGGGAGCAGAGCTGCAGCAGACCCAAGTGTTTTCGTGAGGGGCTGGCAGCAGTCTCTGCATTGAAATCTCCTCTGTCCTTTTGTGCAATTGCTTTGAGCCTGGAAAATCCATTTTCAGGACAACTGAGGCACTGAGAGTCGAGACTAAACATCTCCACAGAGCCCTCAGGGATACTCCTGAGTATCCTGAATATTCCCATGAGCCAGGCGAGCCTCCCCTGGAGTCTCAGCAGCTGCCAGCCCCAGCGGCCCCAGCCCATTTCCCCACCAGCATCTGCCACATCTGCAGCCGCCCCTGGCCGCCTCCTCGGAGCTCCAGCCTGGCAGCAGCCGGCTCTGGGCACCGAGAATCAGCCCCAGCCCTGCTGCTGCCAAGCCCGAAGCAGGAGGAGCTGCCAGCCCGGCAGCCCAGCTGCCACAGCTCCCCCTGCACACACAGCTCATGGTCCCTAAGGGGATCAGAGCCCTGGGACCTGTCGGGGAGGGAAACTCCAACACTGTGCCACCCCAGCACTGCGGGGCTGGCCTGGGGACAGGCTGGTGACACAGCGAGGGGTCTCATAGCAGGACTGACGCCTCCTCCCCACTCCTGCAGAGCCCTGTCAGCAACCACAACCAGCGTTCCTGGGAGTGGGTTTGTGTGGCACAAAACATTTCCAGCTGTTCCAGGAGGAGGCTGAGCATACTAAACAGCTTGGCTCTGGTGAAAGTTCAGCAGCCGCCAGGGCCCCAGGCCCGGAGGCAGATCTGTTAACCTTTTCCACCGATATTCCTGGCACCACAATGTGCACGGGGTAACATCTGCCTGGAGCACCCCAGTCACGGGAGTCTGGGGGGTACCAGATGCTCACCCTGCAGGAATCAAGCCCTTGTCCATGACACGATCTGGGCCATGCAGCCACTTCAAGCCGTGCTGGAGGTGACAGTGTTTCACTTCAAAAAGCACCTGTCCCTCAGGAACAGCATTTTTCTCTTTCTGGCTTTCCCATTGCTGCTGTGCAGTTGCACTGGCTTAACTAAGACCCATTCTTTTTTCCCCCCCAGTTTAAAATTATTCACAAATCTATTCAATTTTCACTGGTTTCTCTGAGTTAAAATTTGAACTGTCAAAAGGCAGGTAAACCTGTCCTTGTAATTTTTAGTGGGCAGACAGCAAATCCCCGGGAATGTGTACCAATGGCAAAGTGCATGGGATGTAACAGAAATCAGCGCCGTTCTTTACATGACATGATTAAAACAAGTATCTCGTTTAATTAGAAAAAGAAAGATCGCAGACTCATTCCCAGGATGTTATCTGTGCAATTACTTTATGTAACATTATTAAAAATTAATTTTCCCCAGAACCTCAGCAATTTAATGAAACATGCCCGGTCCTCAGCAGCAGCTGCAGCGGAGCCAGCCCACTGCCATCCTCCAGGCAGCGGCACTCGGTCCCCCCGGGCTGTCTGTCCCTTGCTCTGGGCACATCCAGCCCTGGGTCAAAGCAGCCCTGCACAGCACCCTATTGCCGCAGGCTCAACAGCTCTCCTCGCACCGGGTACCGCAAGCAACCGCATCCCCCTCTCCTGGGGCTCGGCATCCCGCATCTCCGTGAGCAAAAATCCTTTTTCTCCAGGGAATCAGCATCCCTACTCTCTGGGTGCTCGGCATCCCCCCTCTCGGGGTGCTCGGCATCCCCCGTCTTTGCGGGCTCAGCATCCTCCCTCTCCAGAGGCAAAACATCCCTCCTCTCCGGAGCAAAGCGTTCCCTTTCCCCGGGGAAAGGGACAGAGGGACAGCACTCTCCTCTCCTCCTCGCAAGGTGCCCGGCACCCCCATCGCTCCTCGCCCGGAGCGGCTGCTGGCACCGGGAGCTCTGCTCGCTCCGTTCCGGGACACAGCCCCCGCCTCGCCGCCGGCACCTTCCACCACGGCACCCGGCAGCGCGTCCCCAGCCCCGGACAGCGCATCCTTCCCCCCAGCCCCGGACAGCCCATCCTTGGCCGGGGGAACCTCCGCCCCGGCTCCGGACAGCGCATCCCGCAGCCGCGGGTACCGCATCCCCCGGGCAGCCCCGGGCAGTGCGGTCTCCGCCCGTTCCCGAAGTTCTCCCGCAGCCCTTACCGATCCGGATGACATGCGGCATCCCGTGCGAGCTCTGTCCCCAGAAGCCGCCGACCAGGAGCGCTGCCCAGTATTCCCAGAGGACGCGGCGGAGCGCCGGCCAGAGATGGGGCATCGTTGGGTCGGGCTGGGGCCGGCGCGGCCCTACGGCCCCAGGGGCAGCGGGGACAGGAGCGGCTGCTGCTGCCCGGGGCTCAGGAGCGGCCGCTCGGCGCCGGGGCCGGGCGGCTCATGGCACATCTTAGAGCGGCCGCGCCGGCCCGTCCCGCGGCTGCCACGGCTCCGGCCGCTCCCTTCCGCTCCCTGCCGAGCCGAGCCGAGCCGAGGCGGGCTGTTCCGGGCCGAGCCGTGCGGTGCCGGTGCCGGTCGGGCGGCACCTGCGGAGCCGGGGCTGCCGGTGCGCCCCAGGAGCGGCTCTGTCCCCTCCTACCGCTGATGCGCGGCTCGCGCAAAGCCCCGGAGTGGAGCGTGCACACACCGACACACTCACACCCCCTGACACACTCCCCCTGACACACTCACACCCCCCGACACACTGACACCCCCCGACACACTCCCCCTGACACACTCACACACCCCGACACACTCCCCCTGACACACTCACACACCCCGACACACACCCTGACACACTCACACCCCCTGACACACTCACACCCCTGACACACTCACCCCCCTGACACACTCGTACCCCCCGACACACAGCCCCTGACACACACCCCGACACTGACACACAGCTGGTCCCCCGGGTCGGGATGCCTCGGCGGGCACTGCGGGGCGGGGGGCGATGGCCAAGGGGTCCGGGGGGTCCCGGCAGCGCCTCTGCTCCCTCTGCCCCCGATGGAGCCCTGTCCCGCAGAGGACACCCTGTGCCCGGTGTCCCCCAAGCGCTCGGGTGTCCCTTATGGCCCCGGGGTCGCGGTGTCCCCGCCGGTGGGCACCGGGAGAGGCCGGGCAGGGCGGTTTGGGGCTGGGGGCGGCATCCCGGGGCCGGGGCCGCTGCAGCAGCGGTGGGAGCGCCCGGCCCGCGCTCCGCAGCCGGAGTTTAATGACCTCGGTGACAGAGACAAAGGGATGCCCGTGCCGCGGACCGGGAGCTGCTTTGTCAACGTGCTGGGCTAGGCTAGGGTGAATTTCTTTTTCTTTTTTTTGTTTCTCATTTAAATAATTTGATCTATTCCATCATTTCCAATCGTTCCCATTTGCCAGCTGTCTGCTCACTCCAGCCTGGAACAGCTGAAGAGCAAATCTTTAATTTTCTTACAAACATACTATCACTCTGTACCGGCTCATCTTTTTAATTTTCCTCAGCAAGCTCGGCATGCTGAAACGCTGATCTCCAGAGCCCCATCCCGGAGGAGGTTTTGGGAGCCGGGGTGTGTGGACTGGAGGAGGAACACTGCAATAATGCAAGCCATTATTGATGTACAACTCAAAGAGAAGTTGCTGGCTGTCACGTCTGCAGGGAGGTGGACACACAGGGAATTCCCTATTTTAGTGGTGTCTGGGCTCTGGCTGATGGGACAGCAGCAGTGGGGGATCAGCCAGGGAGTGTGACAACCATCATCAGCACGGAATCATACAGAAAAACTGGAAAAATCTCTGTCAACACAGCCAGGGCAGGACCAACCCCTCGCAGAGATGCTCCCCGATGCGATGGGAAGGTGCAGCTGGTGTTTCATCACTGTATTGTGGTGAAGGGAACGTCTCACTCCTTCCCCAGCCCCAGCAGAGAGGCAGAGGGGCTGCTCAGCCCCCTCCAGGCTCTGAGGAGGGGGTGTTGGTGTTGGTTGTGGGCAGGGCCGAGGCTCCAGCTCTCCAAACCTTCCTGCCTGCGCCAAATCGGTTACAGAAAAGAGTGGCTCGTGTTAAGGATATTTTTATCCCTCCTGACACCAGCCATGGATAAGATTTAGCAAAAGGGCATGGAAGAAAATTTCTTTAAATACTGCTTAAGTGAAGGACAGCTGTTTCTGTGAACTTGTTATAAAATTAAATGTCACAACCTGGTGACTCTTTGCACCTGCAGATAAAAAAGTCCCACAAAGCTGTTGGGAGGGAGCAGGTAAAAAGGGCTGTGGCTGTTCTTTGCTCTTTGCAGACTCCAGCACATGGAGCAGAGGTTTGATTTTTGTGGAGTGTTTAAATTAAACTGTAGCTGGGAGGAAATATTCTGTTAGTTTGGGATGCTGCTTCCTGCCTTTCTGTCAGCACCAGGCACTGATAATGCTCTGGATCCTACTGCAGAGCCAGCACAAACAGTTTATTTTGTATTAAATTATTTGATTAGTGGCAGATGGGTGTGTGGAGGTCACGGACAGACCTCATCTCCTGCGTGTAGGTCAGAGAGGGCAGGACTGAAATAATCCTGTACCAGAAATTACCACAGCATCGAGCTTGGGCACAGGCAGAGGAGCACTCCAGGGCTTTCATGGCTTGTCCTTCCCAAAACAACCTGAGGGCATTCAGCAGAGCCACACGGCTGTGTCACCTTTCCTTTGTGTCCCCACACTGTCCCCATCCCACCCTGGGTGTGTCACCTTTTCTTTCTATCCCCACTTGTCCCCTTCCCACCATGGCTGTGTCTCCCTCCCTATGTGTCCCCACACTGTCCCCATCCCATCCCTCTCCTGTGATTTGGCAATTCTCCCCTCTCTGGGCAGCACCCAGGGCAGTTCTGTGGCAGGATTACAAAGAGGGCACTTTGGAAACTTCTCTTAGGTGTTGCTGCTTGGGTTTTTTTCCCCCATACAAAGACTCAATTTTCACCCCACTCAAATTTCCTTCCTTCTGCCTGGACCCAGACCTGTGAGCAACGACCTTCACCAGCCAGGCCAGATTTCCCCTGGAGCCAGAGCCAGGCTGTGAAGGACAATTACAGCACAGGCAGGATGAAAGAAGGAGGATCCTGGAAGGTTGATAGAGCTCCTCAAGGGCCCAGAGCTCTGGTTTGGTGCTGCTGCACAGGTGAGTGCTGCCCAGTGGGATGCTGGCCTGGGGAACAGGATTTATTTATTAAATTTCATTTGTCACCAAGCTGAGTCAGGATTTTCCTCAGGAATCTTTGGCCATGCCTTGAGGACAGTCAAAGGTAGCAGAAAGGCTTTGGGTGACTTCTTACAGCAATGCTAAAAATACAAGATATTTGCCCAGTTCATAAGTGCTGTGAAAATAGCTTTAATGTGGTAATTCATCATTTAAGAGTGTATCAATTAATGCAAACTCTGGTGTATTTATAACTTGTGAACATAGCGTACCAGTGAGGAGAAGCCGATTGGTTATTTTGAGTTTGTTGAGAAGATATTTGGATGTTATTTATTTCGTGCTGCTGTTTTTACTATGAATATGTGGGGTATTTAGAGCTCCAGGTATTACAAAGGTCAGATTTAAAATTGTGTACATCTTATGGGGTTTTTTATATACACAAAAATTCAGCCCTCTCACCTACAAATAAAGCTGTAGGTTTAAGGGTGTTCTCAAGACACTGATTTAAGACTTCTTATTTTTGAGTATGAAAGGGAACCACTTGCAAAAGTGGGAAATAGTGTTGAGGTTATTGATATCTAGAGGAAAATGCTGATTGAAGAAAGACATTTTCAAATCAGACTGATGCTTTAGAGCAGCAGCAGAACTATGAACCTGGCAGAAAGAGACATAAGCATTTCTATAGCCACAGCATTTTTCAATACTAATGAAGAAAAAGAGGCTTCTCTTTATTTCTGTAATGGTATCTAAACTGGTTCGTTGGAATTAGCTCCATCCACATGTGTTTTGTTTAGATTTATATGCATCAGCTCTAATAGAACCACCATCAATCTGAGTTATGAGGCTCAGTGCTCGCATTACCGAGATTCATGTGCCGGAGTCGGCTCCTAAAACATCCGAGAGGGAAAATACCTGGGAAATGCGGATTTCTGGGACTTGAGTGCCCTCTACTGAAACCGTCCCGGCTCCGACCCTTCACTGTGGCACCCGCAGCGTGATTGATGCTTTGCTAAATTGAATTGAAGTCTGCGGTTCGCAGATCCATTATGGAGCATCCCTCCTTTCCTTCCTCCCTGGTCTCACCCCGCACTCCAACACTCTGGATAATCCTGGCTCCTGCAGCTGTGCCACGGCAGATTTGCTGGTTTTAATGGCAAGTTTAGATAGTGAAAGGAGGATTCCTTTGGGTATGTTAGGAAAATTAATCCACAAACACCAGAGGTTTGTGTCCAAAAAGGAGACAGAGGAGTCCTGGAACTTTATTCCAATAAAGGGAGAGGCCATGGGGCATTCCCCTGGGGTCTCTCAGATTTTTGGAGGATGCAGCCTCCTTTTTATCCCAATTTCCCAGCTGCATTTCCCTTCTCTCTTTGCCCATTGGCTGAGGTACTTGAGAGGTTCAGACTTCCCAGAACACCTGATACCAAAGATTTCCCTCTAATGTACAACCCTCCCTTTTAATTTGTAATTCTTATGGAATTTAGGGGTTTTTCTTCCCCATTCTTTCTTTCATCTTTCAATATCTAATTTCATTTCTTAGCAAACCTAAAGTTCATTTGTAAAATGAAATATCCTTTTCCATTCACCAATCAGTGGAATCCTCCCCATTGTTTCTTTTATCTCCCAGTGCTGGTTTTACCTACCAGCAGACCCAGAGCTTGTTTGGAAAGACAGATCCACTATTCCTCTCAGGTGTAACCATGCAGGAGCTGTGCTGGCACTGAGGAACGCTGAGGCTGGGCATGGTGATGCTGCAGGAGAAGCTGGCTCTGCCCGAGGGGTTTGGGTCTGCTTGGTGCCTCTTCTGGGAGAGATTTAACTTTGTGCCTTGATGCCTTTTTCTGGGAGAGGCTTTAACTTGGTGCCTCTTCTGAGAGAGGTTTAACTTTATGCCTTGGTGCCTCTTCTGGGAGAGATTTTAACTCCATGCCTTGGTGCTTCTTTTAGGAGAGGTTTAGCTCCATGCCTTGGTACTTCTTTTAGGAGAGGTTTAACTCTGTGCCTCAGTGTTTCTTTTGGGAGAGGCTTTAACTCTGTGCCTCTTCTGGGAGAGGCTTTAACTCCATACCTCTTCCTCTTTTGGGAGAGGTTTAACTCCATGCCTCAGTGCCTCTTTTAGGAGAGGTTTTAACTCTGTATCTTGGTGCCTCTTTTAGGAGAGGCTTCAAGTCCGTTCCTTGGTGCCTCTTCTGGTCCGGACTTCAACTCTGTGCCTCGGTGCCTCTTTTG